AGATCTTGACCGTGCGTATCCGATGCCGTTTACTGCTTGTCGCTATCTTGCTTCGTTCTCGAGATCTCAGGGGGGGCCGAATCGGCCCCCCCGCCAGTTTCTTGTCCCGGCGGAGCCCGCCAGGAATAGGGTTAAAGTTGAATTTTGAGGTCACAGGTCGGGTCAAGGTCAGGTCAAACACCTGAAATCGGGCTTTCAGTAGCATGGACTTCAGGACTTCGCAATGGGCGCCTCTCGTCATAAACTCTGTCAAAACGGTGCACAATCCATCATATAAGGCCTACAAGAGTGTCAGCTCCATGTAGGGGCCAGTCAAGCATAGGTCAGGGTCAAGGTCAGGTCAACCGGGCAGGCACATATCCCCGAAAATCAAAACTGATATTCGCAGCCTGTGACACATGTTTTATGGGTAATTTGAGGCGTAGAACACGATGGTGACATTCATTTTATCATATGTGTACGTGTTTGGCTAAAAAAGTTCAATTTAAGAAATGCATGTATCATGGTCCTGAAGTAGTCACGAGAAATTGCCAAGATTCAGTTCACGATTTTGGAAAATGCGTAACGATAATCAATAATCGAAGATAGCCATTTGATTGTTCATGGTATTAACAGTCTAATGGCGTTTACGGCATGTCTGTATGTCTATTCTGTGATTTTATATGATTTTTTAAACATATGCCGTTTTTGGTCGAAAACTCAGAAATCATGACGTCACTAACACCTCGATATCTCAAAAATTTTCCGACCGATTTTTTTGACACTTTGTCACAATAAACTTCAATCAATTCCCTACAGGTACCCAAAATTTGGCGCGCCGTTTTTATGCTATGGCCCGGCGAAAAAAGTGGGGGCGTTTAACGCCCCCCCCCCCCCCAGCAACTCGCGGGTTAACCCGCGCCCCACTGGGGGGGGGCTATTTATAGCCCCCTACCGTTTTTCTGCAATAACTTCCAAACCGCTTGACGGATCGACGCCAAACTTTCAGTACCTTCGGCTGCATCAATTTGACACCTTGTGTCAAAATTTGAACTTTGTAGCTACCATAGGTCGGGCGGAAATGACGTCAAAGTGACGTCATGTTCGTCCGATTTCGACGCAAAACATTGAACCACGGTAATCGCTCCCAAGAGCTCAGTTTTTAAGCTAGATCCAATTTCTTTGCATGAAAGGACTCAGAATTGACCCCGCTATCAAACTGCTATCTCGGATTTTCAAATTTTGAAAATTTCGAAAATTTTATATAATAATATTCAAAATTTATATTTTTATATTTATTTCAAAACGTTTTTGACTTTTCGAAAAAAACCGGAATATATGTGACAGAACGCATGATTATGACTAACTCTAGCAAGTTTTAGCTAAATATCTTCAAAAATGGCCAAGTTATACGCATTATTGCAAAAAATTCACAATTATTAATTTTTCAAATCAATTTTTCAGTACGTATTTGACATCGTACACCAATATAAATGGCACCACCTTGTTTCTGAGCTCAAACTGCATCCAATTGACACCTTTTTGTTGAAAAATTTTAACTTCAAAATTTGACCTTTTTTGACCTGAAAGTGACCTGACCTAAGCTAAATTCGACTCAAAATGACCTCGAATGACACAGACGACATCAAATTCGAAATTTATGGCCTAAATGGACCATAAAACATGTGTAACGTGACCGACGCATGATAGAATATTTCCGTGACCTGTGATGACCTGACCCTGACCTGAAAATCAAATTACAAGTTTGGTACCCTCAAAGTATCTAGAGCATCTGGTCACGAGTGTGGAAACCAGAAATGAGCCTGATCTGACTTGTAAGACGGCGGCCAGAACCCAAAATGTGAACAAGCCAAAATGCTAATAAATTTTACTTTGACCTGACCTGTGACGTCATCGGTGACCTTGAGGTCAATGAAATTAGGTTTCGCTCGACAGTTTTTCCGGGGCTATCAGACGCCGTTTGAATTTTGACGATCGGCCCAGTAGTTTTGGAGTTAGGAGGGGGGCTATGAATAGCCCCCCCCCCAGTAGGGCGTGTTATACACAGACCCCAGTGGGGCGCGGGTTAAAAACTGAGTTCTTGAGAGCAAATGCCGTGGTTCAATGTTTTGCGTCGAAATCGGCCGAACATGACGTCACTCTGACGTCATTTCCGGTCGACCTATGGTAGCTACGAATTTCAAATTTTGACACAAGGTGTCAAATTAATGCAGCCGAAGGTACTGAAAGTTTGGCGTCGATACGTCAAGTTGTTTGGAAGTTATTGCAGAAAAACGGGAGGGGGCTATGAATAGCCCCCCAGTGGGGCGTGGGTTAAGCTGATTTTGAAACATGGATTTGCTCCATCATAGCATTTAGGCATAATGTAAAAATGTAAATATAGGATTAGCTGCTAGCTAAAACCATATATACGCTTATTTTTTGCATAAGATAAATAGTTTCCGAGAAAAACGCACGTGAAATTTCGCTAAATCGATTTAGACGTGTCATGGAAACGTAGTGATTGTTTGATAATCCTCACCCTGTGATACACTTTAACCCTATTAGTGGCAGGCTCCTGGCTACCCTATATTAGTGGCAGGGGGGGGGGCTGTTTACGACCCCCCTTGATATCTCGAGATCTAACCGGCCGATTTTCAAAATTCAAACGGCATTCGATTTGGCTCAACGAGATCTACATTTCTAAAAAAAAAAATTAAAAAATGTCAATAGGGGGGTAGAGGGGGGTAAAAACGGGCAAATTGCAGATACATTTTAGACTGTTTATCACGGCCAGGTTTCTGAATCAATCTTAACGCAACTTTTACCGATCGATAGAGAATGAACCAGGAATTCACATGGATCCTAAAAATATGCATTTTCAAAAATCATAGGCGGATACAGATCATTGAGATTGGGGGTACACAAAAAGTATAGTAAATAAGGTTTTTGTTGGTACTGTTTCTAAAAAGGGTGGCAATGGTCTTGTTATGTTACAATTTACTTATGAGAGAACGACTAAAATTGTATTGGTCATGCATAGGCGGTGTCAGGGCACCTATGTTGGGAGGTAAAAATAACCCCCCTTTTTGGACGCCTGGATCCGCCTATTATAGCAAAAACGTGTCAAAAGAGGATGCACAATAACTTTGTATATGTTATCACATGATACCTTTCATTCACTGTTCGTAAAACTGGTGCAGCATCGTGATCTTCGCCCAAATGACTCGCTTCACGAATAGGACCCCCAATTCCCAGTGCTCTGGAGCCGCCCCTGGTAAAGTTATGAACTTGAAATTTTCAGGGAATGTGCCCAATTTAGTTTTAGGAAAAGTCAGAAAATTTCAGCATCGTAGCTTCAGCGGTTTTGGAGATATTCCCGAAAAACCTGAGGGGTGGATAAAAACAACCCCCCTGCCACGTTAAAGGAAAAGGGCCACCTTCGTGAAATACATATGAAGATATCGTTGTTTTTCATTTTGACATTATTATTTTTCATTTTCTTTTTAAAACTGGTGCCAGAAGTGCACAATTCGCGAAAAAGTATTTAAAACTATTTAACATATTGGTACTATGTTGATACTCTCTACGGCACCTACTGTATGATGGCATAGCGATGACGTCACACTCAAGCCAATCAGCGTTCAGAAGACAGACTCGTCGGATTGTGTCAGATAAGCTGATTGGTTAAAGCTGAGCTGGTTGGAGCTGATTGGTAAAAACCAAAGCCTCGCCGCGGGTGGCTGTATTGTCGGATAAGAACGCATTCCTGGGATAAGGACGCATTCCTGGCGTATTTTCTTTTAAAATTGCCGATAACTACGAATGGAGGCCGAAATCGGCCGTAAGGATGTAGACAGATAGGTTTTCGGACACGGGCTACAAGATGGCTATCTCAGTTTCAGTCCCCATGTTAAAGGTGGCCCTTTTCCTTTAAAACATATTGGTTGTATATTGCGGTCGTTGGAATAAATTATTCACAATATAATGTGAACACAAGAATAATGATGCAATAACTAAAAAGCACTCCAATCGCTTAGCATGGAATATTGAAATGACATTTTAAAAACAATTTGCTAAAATCCGGTTAGTACACTGACATCGGGCAACCATTATCAGCACATAAGAGCTGTTGATATGTGCAGCAGGGGGAGGAGGGGTCAGTATTATAGTGCGCAGCGCCATTTTCTTTGGAAAATTCGCATCAGAACTTTGCTTTCGATGCTATATTGTTCTCTTTGCTCTTGTCCTTCCATTCACCGAGTTCACTTTCATAAATCAGCATTGATAATGGCCTCCAAGCGACTCCTCTTTCCTCAACCTTCCGTGGTAGCAAGGGTTGGAAAACCCTGATCAATTTCCCACACCTATACCTATTGTATTTGAATTCGTATTTTGCATTGCGTCTCGAAAAGCTATGGCCCAATCTAAAACGCCCATCAAAGATAAATAAAAATATTTGTCAAATAATTGTCAGCTAAAAGGACAGATATCGTTTTATTTCCTTTTAGAAAATTTGTAAGACAGGCAGGTGTTTTAGTAAATGTGACGTCACTCAGTTTTTGTCCTACGAATTACATCTAAACAGCTATCTCATGACCCATCTGATGCCTGATGCTTCGAGATCTCGTCGTGCGTAGGTGAAGCTGTTGCTGTCTACGTATAGTTCAGTCCGGAAACAACCATGGCGTCGTGATGCCATCATAACCGTGTTCTGCTGACGTCATGCCGCCAATACTACTTTTCTGCTGTGATAGTAACTTCCCGAAGCGCTTTAAAATGTATAGTCTTATTCATGTGCCAGATCTAGCACTACCGACGTTTGAAATACTGAAATGGCCGACAGACGTGGACGTCAGAGGGTGTTCAATACTTTTTCATAGACTTTTGGATAAGGTAGGTAGTATCTCAGAGCCAGTAATTCTGTATCACACAAATACACAAATACCCTCATTTTGTGCAACCAAAGAAAGAAATATACGACAATGTTATGTTGCCGCCGTCTCACTCACAAGCACTTCTTCATCAGACGGACTGTATTGGATCACGGCCGGTCAGAGAGTGACCATCAGTCGGTCAGCGGCGGTTCGTCTCGACCGCGCAGCTCCCCGACCTTCGACCCCGCCCCCAGGCAGTCGGTCGGTCAGCTGCGCCGAGCGGCAGCCCAGCCGCACGAATCGGGCGGTCACACGAGCGGTCACACGAGCGGTCACACGACCAGCACATGCAGCAAATAGACGGCGTTCACTCACAGCACTCCTCCCCCTTTAACAAGTTTTTTTAGCCAGCCGAGCAGAGCGCCGCAAGGCCGGCGCCGCTTCTACCGGCTCTGATGCACGCGCGCCACGATTGCCCTCGCATGTTGCTCGCTTATTATAATCACTGATATACAGAAAACGCCCCCTAGCGTCCATCACACATGGCACTGCTGGACCGCGAAGCTTTCCCGGCTCCGTCGGAGGCGGCACCGTCACCCGCGCATCGAGGGGCCCACGCTCAGCCGTCACAGAAGCAGAGCCGTCGGCCAGCAGATGATCCACGTGGGCGAGACGTATGCGACCGTCCGGCAGCCGCACGCTGTACGTCAGTGGGCCTCCAATGGCGACGACGACAGCGCGCTGCCATTTCTCGGTCGCTGCTGGCCGCAGATCTCGAACCAAGACAGGTTGACCTGCAAGAAATGATCGTGAGACAGTGTCGACAGGCTCATGTCGCATCCGCGCTGCAACACTGGGCTTGAGGAGCGAGAGCTTTGTCCGAGGCAGTCTCCCAAAAAGCAATTCGGCGGGTGCCCGGGCTGTTGTGACGCATGGAGTCGTTCTGTATTTTGCCAGAAATTGTGCTACTGCTGTGGTTCTGGGTCCTGCATACCTCTTGAGGAAAGCTTTGAAGGTACGTACCAGAGACTCCGCCTGCCCGTTTGACGCTGGGTGGTACGGCGGTGTCAGACGGTGATGAATACCTCGCGCTGCCAGGTAGCTCTGAAACTCTCCAGAGGTAAACGGCGGGCCATTGTCTGACACCAACGTCACCGGAAAACCATGCGTTGCAAAAATGTCCGTCAACACTTCGATGGTCTTAGTAGCCGTTGTGCTAGACATGTATCGCACTTCTGGCCATTTTGAGTAAGCATCAACGAGCAAAAGGTAGGTTTTTCCTTCAAAAGTGGCAAAATCAATGTGGACTCTGTCCCAAGGCTGAACTGGGTATTTCCACGGGTGTACATTCTCTGGTTTGGGCATGTTCGCGTTCTCGACACAGGACGGACACGAACGGCATACTTTTTCAATATCTCCATCTAGCCCTGGCCACCAGAGGAACACCCTAGCCAGTGACTTCATCTTATGAATGCCAACATGGCCTTCATGAAGCTCCTTCAGTAGCTGAGCTCTGTATCTGTCAGGTATGACTACCTTCTCACCGAGCTGTACGCAGCCGTCGATTACGGTGAGCTGCTCTCTCCGCTGCAGGTACGGCTTCAACCGGCTGTCGTTCGCGTGCCCGGGCCAGGCGCCGGTTCGAGCCCAGCCGAGCACCACGCTGAGCACCGGATCCTTGGCGGTGGCAGACGCCACCTGGGCTGCAGTGACAGGCAAGACGTCATCAACGGCACAACAGCCCTCCTCAACGTCCTCCAACACATGCACGGTTCGATCACATGTATCTGGCCCCGGCAGTCGGCTGAGGGCATCAGCAGCTACGTTCCGACTGCCCGGCAGATATTCTACATCGTACTGGTACATGCTCAGAATGAGTGCCCACCGCTGAAGACGCGCTGCAGCCACAGACGGAACTTGTGTGTGTGGTCCGAAAATGTGACACAGCGGCTTGTGGTCGGTGACTAGCGTGAAGGAACGGCCACACAAGTACTGATGCCACCGCTTGACGGCAAAGATTATGGCCAGTGCCTCCCTTTCTATTTGCGCATACTTTCTCTCGGCCTCTGTCAGTGTACGAGACGCAAACGCGATCGGACGCTCCCCCGACCCGTCCACGTGCACCATACACGCTCCCAGGCCGTACGCCGAGGCATCACAATACACCTTGACTCGCTTACCCAGATCGTAGTGAGTCAAGCAGCCAGCGTCTGCGAGCATGGACTTTACCTCAGAGAATGCCTCCTGGCATTTTGGGGACCAGTTCCACACGGTATCTCTCTTGGTGAGATCGTACAACGGTCTAAGGACGGTGGACAGATGAGGAAGGAACTTTGCGTTGTATGTGACCATACCCAGGAATGTCAGCAGCTCCTTGGCGTTCTTTGGTGCCGGCATAGCCAGCATGTCTCTCACCTTCTTTTCGCTCGGTCGCACTCCCTCGGTGGTGAGAGTGTATCCCAAGAACTCCACAGACCTCTGGAAGAAGCGGCACTTCTCGCGGCGCAGCCGCACACCGTACTGCTGAAGGCGACTGAGCAGTTGTTCGAGGTTGTCCACGTGCTCCTGGCGAGAGGATCCGGTCACCAAAATATCATCAAGATAGCACGCGACACCCTTCAGACCTTGCAAAATGCTATCCATCGTTCTTTGCCAAATATTGGGAGCAATATTCAGGCCAAATGGCAGCCTCCGGTGACGCATCAGCCCTCGTGGCGTATTGACCGTAAGCAGTTCCTGACTTTTTCCGAGACGCGTAGCTGTTTATATGCGTTTGCTAAGTCCAGTTTTGTGTACGACTCTCCCCCCGAGAGGCAGCTAAACATCTCCTCCGTAGTCGGTAGCGGATACGACTGCTGTTTGACATATCTGTTAACTGTGACTTTAAAGTCGGCACAGATCCGCACATTTCCTCCCGGCTTCTTGACAATTACCAAGGGTGCGGCCCACTCGCTCTCCTGTACCGGGTAGAGCTCACCTTCCTCCAGCTGCCTGTCGAGCTCCTGGTTCACCTTCTCCCTCAGTGGAAACGGTACCGGCCGGCTCCGGAAGAACCGTGGTCTGGCATTGTCGTCCAGCTCGATGTCAGCGTCGATGCCTCTGATCTCCCCCAGCTGATCGGAGAACACATCTTCATATTTCTCCTGCAACTGGGAAGCAGACATGCACACTGTGTGAACGTCACGTCCGTGAAATATTCTATTCCAGTCCAGCTTTACACGGAACAGCCAATCACGGCCTAGTAGCGGGTACTTGCTACGCACGTTCACCACCAAAGCTGTACCTGTGAACTGCTGGTCATCGTGCTGAACATGAGCACGCATCTCTCCACACACGGTCAATGGCGTGCCATCATACTGTGACAGTCTCTTTTTTGTGGCTACCAGTGGCTCTGAGTCGTACCCAAACACTCTCTCGAATACATGCTCTGGAATCGTAGTGATTTCTGCACCCGTATCTATCTCCATCTCTAGCGGCTTATCGTTGATTATCAGAGTCGTAATCAACTTACCGCCTCGGGGTTGATGGGTGTGGAGCACCGAATACTCATCTCCAGAGTCCTCTTCCAGTTCTCCAGTCTGATGGACCTCTCGTCCACCGGATCTTCCTCCTTTCTGGTGCCTGTTGTCCGCTGTGACTGGTCCTCTTCCGAGCGGTCGACTGGAAAGGCCTGACCGCGCCCCCTCCCGACCGGACAGTCCAGGCCGCGACCCTCCCTCGGCACCGCCGGCCGGGCCACTGCGGCCGCCGCACACTGGGCCGATCGCCAGGTCTAGCACGACATGGGTAAAAAATCGAACTTTGTGGATGTGCAATGAAACCTATACCAATTTGTTCAAAAATGATCATACTACATTGCTGTGGTCTTTGTTTTCCAACACAATTGCTATTTCATGGCGAAAACTCAGCTTAAACACGAACTTCGGAATCGTTTGGACCGAACTCGTCCCCCGCACTCTTCGACAACGTATCTTTGATCCACGAAAACAATCACAATTTGAGGAGGAATTCCACATTTATATACATCAAACGATAGCTCTGGATCTGCAGAACACACATAACCACATCAAAATGGCGAACTCTTACTTGGTTATGATGTATTCGCACCGCAAAGATTGAAAGACGAAAATATAATTTCACATAATTGATGTCACACACAAATAGACTTTAAAAAAAAAGTACCGCAGAGTACCGCTTCGAAAATCTCGCTACATGTCAATGATTCATTGCACTACAAGATCCAACAGTCATTTTTTGCGACTTTTTGCGACTTTGGATGTAGCAGCCAAACATCAACCCGCGCCGGACCGGTGCTCGGCGTCAAACGCGCCGGGCCGGGAGGTGTTTATTGAACACTCCCCTTCAAACTCGGCTCTTGGGCCACATGCGAAGTTATTCACCAAAAACTGAACCGTACCCTGAGGCACTTGACCTGACCTCAGAGGTCACCGGTTGACCTAGGACCTTAAAATTGGGTACCAATCTCTGCGTCTCGTAACGGCGCACACGCTCGTTTTTCCGCGACGCGCTAGCTCTACCAGGGGCGAAACGGCGAGGGGGGGGGTCGTAGCCGCCCCCCTCGGCCGGCGAGGGTTAAGCTGCGTTAAAAAGTACATTAGATGGACGAATTTTTTGTCTTTCAAACCAGCTTCAAAATTTGGCATCACATCACCTGGGCTTGACCGGACCTTGAGCTAAACTTCATATAAGTATGGTCCATGTAACAAATTGAGTATGCCCATGGAGATCTACGAGGAAACTGCCCTATACAATATGTGTCACACATATCGGTCTGCGGTTGGTGGGAGCAGCCGCAGCCAGTTGAAGTCAGTTGAGTGGGACAGCCCGTGCTCAGCTTTGAAGGGCACGTTTAACTTTGGCATCTAAATTCTCTCGTTACCTGGAATTGCACGATCGGAAGGGGTCGGTGTCTATGCAACAAGCTCTGCTTAGCATGGGTCCCGGCTCTGTCAATCCGTCCATTCAAACATTCGATCTAAATTTATTTTAAAAATGTGTTTTTGTATGTCTGTGTGTGTCTGTGTGTAAACTGATGTGTGCACCGACTGGTCTGTGTTTCTCTATTATATGAGATCATGAACTGAGAAGCTTTTACCAAAAATGCAGTCCAAGAAACTTCACGAAAAGTAAATTCAGCTTGCAAAAAACGCAATATTTTGGATGACCTAGGTTGATTTTGACCCTGACCCTGACATCTGTACATCGTCGAGCAATATGTTCCATGATAGGTGGGAGGTAAGACTGGCAAAAAGCCGAAATCAAGGTATCAAAAGCTCACAAGACCCTGAGCCAACGCAAGATATTGGTATTGGTCAATTGGGTCATGACATGACCTGAAGAATAAGGTCATATCTCCGAAACCAAAACCACAGAAGCTTGAAATTTCAGTGGACGCTGAGAAAAGATAAAAAAAGACAACGTCGTCGCTAGTGACATTTGGTATGACGCTACCGATATAACAGCATATCAAATTCAGCACAGGCAAAGAAGTATACAATCATTTTGTCAAGCACCTAAAGAAAACGACCAGACGGATGATTGGCATGATGCACTAGACACTCCAGAACAGCGGCAACACAGAGCGCTGGCTGACGAGCCACAGGAAAGCAGCGCCTGCTTGGGACAGGAAGGGACTGGGAGGCCGGATGACATCAGCGTCGCAGAGGTGAGGCGGGAAGGAGCTGGCGGGGAAGGGCGGCGGCCACCAGGCGGGTCTGTATCAGTGGACAACGCTTTGCCTTTAAAGTTTGTAAATCTAAGCAATAAAGCTCTAGGCAAAGATCTGAACTCATTACTTGAAAAGGGCCCCAACTTCGCTTTATCACGCTCTATTGATTCTCGTACCATGCTAGAAGTTGAAGGTAACCTAGAAAGAGGAGCTTTCGCTATACGCTGGCAGGAAGAGATAGAAAGCAAAAAAAAAATAGTAGTCGTGTGCCAGAGAATGCTGAAGACGTAGGGGAAAAAGTAAAACTCAGACCCCGATTTAGCGACACTCCCACAAGACAAGCTCCAACAGCGGGTCCCGTAACAGAGCACTCCATCAAAGAATTCAAACACAAGGTGATGAAAGTGTATAAAAATCATAGGCCATCTACAAAACCCAACCACTCAACGAAAGACATCACCAATTTGAAAACTATTCAAGAAGACAAATCCATCATAGTGAAAAAATCCGATAAGTGTAAGGGGCTCGTAATCATGTCACGGGATGACTATATAGAGAAAGCAGAAAAAGTTGTAGGTGAGTATGAGTCAGTAAAGTGCAACCCCTCAGGTGCTCTGGACAAAACCACCTCCACCGTTATACAGAAAACAATGAATGAAAAATTCTCTGATACTTTCATAGACGCCATAAAACCAGCAGAATCCCGTACCGCCGAGCTTTACGGATTGCCCAAGACACACAAACCAGGAATCCCATTAAGGCCCATAGTGTCGGCGTGCGGAGACCCGCTGGACAAGCTCTCCTGGGTCTTAGAGCGCATCATCACCCAGCTGTTGATATTTGTACCAACCCATCTGAAAAACACGTATGAATATCTTGAACGGCTTAACAGCACATTTCCGAACTTTCGTTTTCCTCCGGGCACCATCGCGTTTACTGTCGACGTGAACAACTTATACGGTAATATACCTACAGCGGAGGCGATACATAGAAGCTACCATCAAAATGATTCAACTGCATAGAAACAAAGTAAACCTCTTTGACTTGAACATAGCTGACATCAAATCATTGTTGGAGCACTGCCTCAAAAACAACTTCGTCAGATTTGGAGCTAAATTCTACAGACAGACCAATGTCATAGCCATGGGCAATAGAATGGCTCCACCCTTAGCTATATTATTTATGCATTCAGTAGAAACTGCAATGTTATCAGTAAACAGACCACAGCCAGTCATGTACATGCGTTATATAGATGATATATTAGGCATATGGACCCACGGACCAAAGGCTCTTGACGATTATTTTGAATTCATCAACGATTTTCACCCCTCCCTGAAATCCAGCATTGAAAGATCTTATCAATCACCAGAGCAACACATTCCTTTTCTGGATACGTTACTTACCTTAGACGGAGCTGGGAACTTCACAACAGAGCTTTATGTCAAGCCCATGGCCGCTCCTATTATCGTTCACTTCAAGTCAGCACATCCCATGCAAACTAAACGCGTAGTTATCCTCTCACAAACCATTCGAGCCCTACGTTTGGGTTCAAACACGTCAGCAAAGAACAGAGGCATCAAGAAAATAAAATATATTTTCCTCTCGAATGGATATCCAGAGAAAATGACCACTAACATCCAAAGGAAAACTCGAAACCAAACACAGCACCCACGGACCAAACCGAAAGTAAATTACATATCCCTTCCATACATTGACGAAGACCTATCGATAAAAATCAACAACATAACAAAGAAATCTGAACTAAATGTCAAAATAGCATGAAAGGGGGGCAAAACACTAGCCAACACGCTCATTAGATCAGGATTGGATCAACCACCATGCCCAAGGGGAAATCGTACAACCTGTCACGCTTGTCAAGCAGGTGCAGTTGGGAAATGTCACCTTAAAAACGTAGTATACCACATCACATGCACATTATGTTCAGCCATCTACATTGGAGAAACACGAAGACGTATCAGAACCAGATTTATGGAACATTAAGGGGACGCTAGACACAAACGACCTGGCACACATTTCGGGGAACACATGAGAGATGCTCACCCAGACACTGAGATAACAAACGACATGCTCAAACTCAAACTACTGCACACAAACTTAAAGGATGCAGCACAGATGAAAATCACAGAGTCTTTAGAGATCAGAATCCGTAAACCATCAATAATAGTCAGGGGAAGGAGGCCCAATTTTGGGCCGAATAACGCAAAATTGGGTAGAGCTTAGCAAAGGGTGGTTTCTGGGACAAAAATGACCGCTGAACCCGAATCTGACCGGTGCGCACCTCCAACTGATGTTGCACCACTTCCAGAGCACGTGCAACTGCGTGGTTCTTCTTTTTTGAAGAATGGTACCCTTTTTATATATTTTAAAATAAAATAAGTCGCGTAGTTGTGATGTATTTCAAAACTTTAATATTATAGTCAAAATTCAATGCATTAATGAAAATTCTGGTTAACGCATATCGCACACAATCTGTGACGTCACTGTGACGTCATTTATTCGTAAACTGACGGGAAAATGAGGTGTGACAACAAAACATTTAAATTTATTCACAGGATACGCTCATTGGCGGGTTTAAAATGCATTGAGCATGCTCAGAAAATATCTCACCGTTGCAAAAAGTAAAAATCGTCTGGATGGAGGTGCCATTTTGGCCTACAGGGAGCGAGATCCGCGGAGTGTGCGTTTTTACCCCAAATAGTTTTTGTACAATAACTTTTGATACAATGCTTGCATGTCGTCCATTTTACCATCGTTGTGATTCTCTCACCGAGACGCATCGAATGGTATGCAAATTGGCTTCGATTGGTTAAGATTATATTTTACCGCAGTTCATGGCCTCAGGTCGATTATCATGCCAGTGAAGGTTATGACCTGACTGGAAATGGTCATGTAGTTTACCAATCGCTTTGGATTATCAAGATAACCGCATGGAAAATGCTTTCGTTGTTCTTATCATAGAGATCTTATATACATATAGGTATATAAGATCTCTATGGTTCTATGGTTGTATATAAGATCTCTATGGTTCTTATGTGGTTTGATCAGAAGTTATAGCTGAACA